AAAAAAAAAAAAAAAAAAAAAAAACCCTACCTGAGCCTCTGCTGGCTCAAAATTGGCAGACAGAACTGTTGTGGAGCATTGGGAAACATGGGTGGGAAAGAAAATATAAATAGCTTTTTTTCTAAAACTGACTTGAGCATGTGGACCTTTGACAGCTACTTTTCTAAGCCACCAAAGGCTACCTCAAGTGGGTGGATAGGTCAGCACGTACTCCTTTGCTATTCCATGACAGTTAATAAGGCCGGCAGATGGGGCGCCTGGATGGCTAAGTCATTAAGCGTCTGCCTTCGGCTCAGGTCATGATCCCAAGGTCCTAGGATTGAGCCCCACATCGGGCTCTCTGCTCTGCAGGAAGCCTGCTTCTCCCTCTCCCACTCCCCCTGCTTGTGTTCCCTCTCTCACTGTCTCTCTCTCTGTCAAAAAATAAATAAAATCTTTAAAAAAAAATAATAAGGCTGGCAGAAGTACCAACGGCAAAGCCATACCCAGATAATGTGTCTTTTCCAGTGAGAGTAAATTGCTATCAATTCCATGATAGAAGGGATCTAATGTAAGTAAGCTGCCACTAAGTGCCCATATCAGGGCTCAGTGTTGGTCTCTGGTCTCTGCTATTGGCAGGTCAAGCACTCAGTAGGTCAGTTTTGGTGAGGGGAAGTCCATGTTTCTGAGCCTGTGTTTAAGCCTCCATCCTTGCCAACATAGCCACTCTTGTACATGGGCCCATTGAGCAGTCATTAAGATGACTGGAAAAAGAGGCTAACTAATTGCTACAAAGTATGTCATCTTGCCCTGATTACTGAGAACCCCTCCTCTGTCTTAATTTAGGTTCAGCAAGCTCTTCAAGGAGTCCTCAAGCCAGGGTCAGCTATCACGAGAGACCCATATATACTTTAGTATTCCTGCTACTCTTCAATCATTTGCTGGAAGCAGCCCATGTGAGGCGTTTGAACCAACACAGGTGTGATGAATTTCAGAGTGCAACAGCTGGGGCTCATGGTTAATTATGTTCCCTATAGTCGAATGTCTACAAAGTACATTCTTATGGATGTACAGTGTCCTTTGGTGAACATTCACCTGGAGCACAATAATCTTTAATTCTCTTGCCTATTCTGAGAGGTCCATCTATATACTTCACCCCCAGACCTTGTCACTTGTCTTATATATCTGTTCTTCCCAAGTCCTGAACAGTCATCAAACCATTAGTAACTGCCCTTGAATACTAGAGTTTCGATCCATACTTCTGGGTAGTACTCAGTTCAGACATAGCAGACAAGCAGTTGTCCCGCTCAGGATTCTCCTCAGGAAGATGTCCCTTCATTGGGATCTTTCCGAGACATATCCGATGGAGGTTGTAATGCTGCAGCAGATTTTGCAGATCCCAGCTGGCACTAGCCTATTAGGCAAAATAAACTCTAAACTAGACCTAAATTTCTTTTTCTTTTTTAAAGATTTTATTTATTTATTTATTTGACAGAGATACAGCGAGAGAGGGAACACAAGCAGGGGGAGTGGGAGAGGGAGAAGCAGGCTCCCCGCCGAGCAGGGAGTCCGATGTGGGGCTCAATCCCAAGACCCTGGGATCATGACCTGAGCCGAAGGCAGACGCTTAACGACTGAGCCACCCAGGCGCCCCCAGACCTAAATTTCTTGTTAGTCAGCTAGTCAAAAGGAACTCTTCATGCAGCCAGAGGTAAAGACTGGGAAAAAGGAAGCCTTGTAACAGGAGTAGGTGTCAAAGGATTTGAGCCGCCTACTCAGGCAACTTGCTTATGCATTCTAGACCTGCTTGATCTCTCTCCCTGTGTACCACTCTCCTTGTATACCACTGCTACTTGATGATAGATCACTGCTGTGTACATTCCAGCTTGTGGCTTGCTGGATCACGCAGCACCCAGTGCCATAGAGCTGTTTCTAAAAGGAAAATCACTTAACTTCAAAAGAGGGTATGGATTTGCTCCCAAACCCTAGAGATATATGCTTCGATTCTCCTATTGGCATTTG